CAGAAATATAATATATGGAAAAGAGACGAGCAGAAGGCTTTCTGATCATGAAAATTAGCTAGTAATAAAGTTTTTGCGTATTCGCACAATAAAATAGAATATTGAATCTAGTGCAGGGCTAATTATTCGATTGATATTGTGCGAAAAGGGTATGGTAGGCGAACCAAATGACAAGGAAGCTGGCGCACCACCCCAGCGTGCGACGCCTGAGCGGCCCTTTTTTGAGGGGCAGCCATGAACTGGGTGTGATCAATGGGGTTTTGTTGTAGCCTGTCCGAGATTTCAATACTTTTTATCGGCCTTTCGGCCTCTTCGCCTTCGCTAGGCCTGAAAAGACGAAAAGCAATTGAGACCGATCCTTTCATGGGCCAAGTGTGCTACAAGGCTCACCTAGCTCTTTGTCGCCGGGGGCGCAAGATCGACCACCCAAGAAGCAGACTTTAGCGTAGAATGAGCACACCTATCCCCTGTCTGACCTCACCGAAACTTAAAACCTACAGAGGTCGAGGAAGGGCGCCAGAGATTGAGTGTGATCGCTTTGATAAAGAGGGGGAAGAGTAGTGAAAGCAGTCTTACTATCACAGTTCACCTACCTTGACCCCATACTGTTTTGCCCAATTCAAAATTTCTTCATTCTGCTGGGCTATTGTCTCGTTGTTTTTCAGGATGGCAGTGTACTGCTTGCGAGCCTCACTGCTGACATTCTTCAAGAATGGCGTAATTGTTGAACTTCTGTGGCATCCATGGCCCATATGGTCTCCCATATGATGGCCCATATGACACAACACCAATGCGACGATAACGAGCAGAATAATTACGGTCTTCATCCTGAAAATGCTGAACTTGAATCGATTTGTAGAATACCAGAAATCTTAGAAGTAAAAGTGAGTGTGTTGCGAACGAAAAGTGAAGGATATTTACCCACTGTTGCTTCCTTTATATACAAACAGTTTTGGGGCTAATCTAAGAGATGAATCATTTTGTATAATTTATTGTAATTTAAAAAGATGCGAGAAGATTGTTCCACTCCTTTTTTAGAAAGCGCAACAGTTCTCACGGCGTTCAGTGCCATAAAGTGCATAACGGGGCGAGCTGAAAATCAGCTGAACCGGTTTCAAAAGGAAGGTGTTTACGAGTGGAGGAGTGAAAACTACAGAGCTGTGCGAATTTGCAAGTCTTTTCCAGCAAAAATCCCGAATATCGATCGAAATCGGACAACTTTCTGGATTTCAATTCGGATTTTGGTGTTACTATTACCCAACAATATTAGGAGGTTCTGCTGCGTTTGTGCCCGCATGACGGGATTGAGCGTGGAACAATGATGAGCCAGCTGCGAAGATTTCTCCATGCGCGAGTGAGGGAGGGTTGGTATGTTGCTCTAAAGAGGAGAGGGATCGTATTCGATGGAATTTATAGTGCATTAACGCAGATTTTGAGGAGTAGATTTACAAAGAGCTGGGGCTCGGGGAATTTTTGAGAACAGTTTGGCCTTTTTTCAAAAGTCATTATTTTGAAAACTTTATAAAAACTTCCTCACCGGTTTCGGGAAGCTTCAGCTGTTTTTACTGTACCTTACCATGTACCCATATATACCCCTTCCTACCAGGGCAAAAGCGGTCCAGGATGTCATTGACAATGGTCAAGGAAGTCCCCGGCGGTGGTTCTGCACTGTGTGAGAAAAGCGTCGAGAGTGAATGTGAAAGCGGGGGAGACAAATCCTCCACCGATTTTCATCCTACCCATCGAACCACCGCAGACTTTTTGATCTAAAGGTTAAGAATTGACTATTTAATCGAACGCAGAGATGGCAATGGATAAACTTGGAGGTCGCACCAAAGTCGTAAGCGGGGGCGAAAGGTAAATCGCTTGGCTTGCCTAAGCTTAACAGGTGGTTCAACCGCCTGAAACCTACTGCCAATCAGTTTTCTAAAAATAAACACCGTTCAACATATCGTCTCAAAAGGATATAATATGCAAGAGAGCGCTTATCAATCATTGTTCGGAGATTTCATTAACTACCGGTCACTTGAATTTGCATGAGTTTTTTCTTATGCTACATCTTTCGTTCGAACAAAAATGTTCAGGTACCGTTCGTCAGAGTCTGTCAAAACCTTGAACAAACCTGATCTAAATATGGCATAAAAAGAAGACTCGTACTCAGCACTCTTGAAAAAAATGACAAGCTCCAGAAAACTTAAAGAAGGGAGGTCTCTGCGCGATAACGGAAGAGCTCATGTACCGGGCCATAACAAATTGTGACTAACGCAAACTGGTTGAAACAACACGCTACAAATGAATGTTCCACCTTACGAACATCGTCGACGAAAGATTATAATCAAATACGGGAAAAAAACACTATCGAGGTCTCGGCAGAAACTTGTAAGATGATCCGCATTGTGTACAAGGCCAATGAACAATTATAGATAGGAGTCCCAAAGGAGGCCTGGGGTCTATATACACAATAGTCCACTGAAGTCACACCTGTGCCGTCAGTGAATACGCTTTGTGAAAGGGCTATCAGAGGGTTATTGGGAGCCTGTTGCAGATACGCCATTTTCCTTGATGCATATTGTGGCATATGTGATCGTAGTGTACATTACTTATTTTGTAAATGCCCTCGGTCCTGGTATAGCACAATTCAGCAAAAAGTGTGCTCAGGGAAGGGCGGTCAACAAATCTTTCATATTTTGCCGAACATTTGGCTATCCTCCGTACGCTTCGTCAGCCTAACACGTGTGAAGATATTGCTGAACCGAAAAATTAACCCCAATACATAATTCGCCTTGCAGTCTTCGCTACAAGGCGACGTTTCTAATAATCCATTCTACAAGGCCTATGACCCAGCTCCAGAATCAAACTCGTATGCTGTCTCGAAAGCGCAGTTTATGGACTTAGGAATGCCTATCTATTCAATTCAAGGACCTTTGCTGTGGTCAGTGCCGCATTAAAAGCAACTTGCTGAACCTTGGTGAGCCTCATCTTTTCACCAGATATCCCTCACCATCAGGGCTCATGAAGGAACGTCGAATTCACCTGTTCTCATCAAAAAATTTCGAATTTTCAATTCCGTTCTCATCAATCGGTAACCACTTAGTCATCTCAAGTCGGCGAGGACCGGGAGGGGTGAGGGATAAGTCACGGGACTCTTTCTGATACGATTCTCAAGTTCACGCAAGTGAATTATCGCCCACCAATTGCGTCTGCTCTCCACAAGAAGGGTCTTTAGGACATCCGTCTTTTTTTCCGAAACGGTTCTGCGCATATTGTAATATGCACTCGTGTACACAAACCGTGTTCCTGTCTCGCTGAACTATTTTAATAGTACCAAAAGTGTGTAATGCTCCCTCAATAGTTCGCTCCTCCTGACGAAATAATAATAAAGCTTGCGCCTACTTTGGCTCAATATGATCCTAAACATGACCATATGACATTCTGATTTTGATATTCACCAACCGTAACCTGAATTCCAAATACAACAATTCGGACGCCATCGGTTCGAACCATTGTCGGTACTTTTGCACTCTTTTTAAAACATACTGCTAAATTCCGTTGAGTCGAAACATGGAACAGGCACCAACGCCATTTTTTTGTGCTTTCTACATGGGCCAATAGATGATGCAATATATAAGAAGCCAAAAGGGGTGGATCGCCCTAAAAGACTCTCCTTGTCAGCGGACCGCCGCTGGTCTTCTACACCGACACACTTTCTCTTTAGTTTGATAGAACCTTGACCCTCTACAAAAGTCTTAGAAGCTACAGACACTGTTCCCTTGTAGCATCACCCGCCGCCGATCCCAGTAAGCGGAGTTGTTACGCGTTTTCAGGCAGGAACACCAGGGGTCAGATATACTGAGTTGATGGCAATTTTTCGGAGCCTTATTTTCTATGATGTTGCTGAGTGCCCTCCAAGGGGCATCGCGCGGCGAGGAGAAACGCAGATGCGGCAAAGACGAGTTGCAGCGCGTGCTGTGCGATATGAGACGTAGTATGGTACACTCTGTTTAACCTGACGCCTAACCGCTACAGTATGCGCTGCGACTCGTCCTTTGCCGCGTCTGCGTCTCTTCCTTCGCCGCGCGATGCGGTCTCTTGGCGTGACCAATTTGCTGATGCTGCCCGAAACACTCGACTTCTTATTGCTCCACCACTTCCATCTCCAAACGTGTATCGTTCCTTGCAACAAATTACCGAAGCAAATAAAGCGTGCCAGTTTACATCATGGATTTATCGCACGCGTTTACTTTTCACCAAAGGTCACAGTACAAAAACAACCTTAATCCCTGCCGGAAATTACCAGGGCAAGACTGTTTTCTTTTTCAATGTGCCTTAGTTTACCAACCATTGCAGCGTGTGGGAGTAAAATATCAGTGGTAATTTGTGCCTGGTTATCTCTTGCAGTCTAAAGATGTCCTTCAATAAGTGCGCACAATCTGAGCACACGTGTTATAGTCACGAAAGCTTTTGCTGGCAAACTGGTCCTTCTCGGTCTGCCAGCCGTACACAGTAAGCATGTTATATACGAGAACTTTGGATCTTTGGATTCGGATTTGGTTTCAACAAAAAAATTCGAAAAGCCCTTTCCCAGTAATTTCTACTCGATACAGAAATCTGGGACGAAAACAAGAAGTCTGGAATATGCAAAGATTACGAAAATTTCGATCCAGCTGAGAAAACCTTGCCGAACATGCTACTTGAACACCTGAGTGAACTTCGTATATGCGTAGTTGATTTGCAATGGTGCCATCAAACGCTTGCGGTGAACTCGTTCATAACTCCACTTCCTGAGTTGAGAGAGCTGTTACCTGTTGATGAGTGAAAACCAACAACCAAAAAGGGGGTCCCATTTTGCGTTTTCTTGACGGATTTTTCTGCTTTTTCGCCACTGGCGTACCATTGAGCACCACCACTTCACACTAAACCTTCTTGAATTTTTCCTAATCGCAGCCTTTAAATGGCGGGTTCTATGACGCAACCCTGTTTTTGGGTAGAATCAGCGGCGTCTCCGTGGGCGAAGGATAGGATACGGCTCCTGGTGCGCGTTTTGCACACATTACAAGTGACGACGACCTCCAAGTAAATCTGATTAGTAGGGCTAGGCATAGTTATAGCAGATTCTTGGGTAACAGTATCAGATGATAGAATACAACTGTTGGTGAATGATATTGATCAGATGATAGAATACAACTGTTAGCCACAATCATTTCATTGTAAGAAAACATTTACACTTCGCAGGGCCGTCGCCACCTGTGGTGTGTGGTGTGTAGTCGTCGCGCATCTGGTTCTGTGGAACGGATGAAATGAAATTTTTCCTTCGAGTCTTCACCAGGCGAATCACAATGGTGAAATTCTTCGCTATGCCGAGTGCTTAGAAATTGATTTCAGCTCTTTTTTTCATCAAGAAGCGGAATTTTACAAAAGGTCAGGAATTCTGGAGGTGCTAACTACTTCATACAAGGTGAAATCAGCAGGTGAAGACACAAATTTGGCTCTTGAAAACTCTTCCCATGGCCAGGATTAGGGGGAACCTTCATCCGTTGAAGGTTTACGCCGTAGTTTTTTCGCCACAGAACTTTGATGTCTCTTAACTTCCAAGCCACTTCTAGTTACGTTACGTACTTTAATCTCTGCCCAACGTTGCTATGACAACATCTTATTCACACTTGAACATTTAATGGCACACAAAAGCATAAACCGCTCTAAAAAGGAAGTGGTCAGAAAGTGCAACGTGATGCCATCTGTTGACATAAAAGGGCAATTCTCACAGTGGATTCGTCCCTACTCAGCCATTAAAAGCTTGGGTATATAAAGCAAGCCAGTAAGCACATAGATATGGCATTCCTGGCTACAATTTGCTGCCATCAAAATATCTCAATCCCGCTTCCGGACGATTTTATTTAACAATATTTGTAACTAACCATAAGGCAATCTCTGGCAACTAACCCTCTTCTTCTTAATCGTGCGTTTCAAAATAGGTGTTGATTTTGCGCGCCCCTACGATATTCTTACTGGTGTATTTAGCAAGTTAACATGAAAGCTGTTTCTTCCAAATTCTACCGCTCTTCATAGTACCCAAGGAAGAATCATTTGTTTAGTGAAAATATTGCTAATTTCTGACCCATCCTTTACACTACGCTGAGGGCCGATACGATCATTTGCTGAAACCCTACAGCTCTTCCCCTCCATCTGCTTTTATTTTTCTATTGACCTATTGAAACTACCTGTCTTAACTGAAAAATGTTTGACCGCAGTGGGAATTCTTCTCAAACACTCACAAAATTTCGCAAAATTCTCAAAAAAAATAAGTTTCTTACGCACTGCCAAATGGTATCAGTAGCGTCCACTCGCCTAGCGGAAGTAGGGGCAAGTGTGGCACGCCTTTCACCACGTGCGCGCGGCTCCGAGGAATTGAAATCTTGTGTGCGGCCGCCCAGGTCAAACCAAGTACCTACGGGGTCGGGTTGATTGGCTTGTACCAAAACTTCTGTCTGGGAGGGTAAAACACAGATCTGTACATCAGCTGGCCATCGCAAGTCATTCTATGGGCCACATCGCATTCAAACGCCACTACGAATATGCAAATGTGCTCAATGAAGTAGATTGCTAGGACCAGCTGCCCCCGGCACGATCCTAAAAGGATTGATCAAAGCACATTGCTTAATGTTTAATTTATCCTTTTCTTACTCCACTACTAAATCCAAACATTTGGGAGAAAGAATGGTTATTCTCATGCCTAACGCGAAATTTTTGCCTTGTTCACCCCCCCCTCCAGTTGGACTCCTAACTAAGAAGATTTGAGGGGCTTCACCCAGGCTACAGGATGCGGAGCGTACGCAGTCAATATATGTTTGTGACTAATACAATGGCGTCTATCGCGTGCTAAATAATACACTGATTGTGACGTCAAAGTCGATATCTCCACCCGCTTTCATGAATCACAAGTCTGATCGCAAGCATCGCCAGCCACAATTCTCGTAACCCCACTCCGGTGAACCACGGCTGAGTAAATTTTTTCTCCAATTCTCGGACCCAGTGGAAATGTGTGGCGCCTTACGCTTGCAGCTGCGACTTTATACCTTTCAGTTTATTTATTTATTAGGGCTATTGTTAAAATAATTAAATCGAATCATACAAGAAACGCAGATAAAAGAACAATTTACAATAGTTATAATAATGTAGAAATCAATAGAATAAAATATGTTAGCAGAAAGAATTTACAGTTAAAGGAAACAATTTACAGTTGATCAAAAGAAATTTTACAGTTAAAAGAGTTGGGACAGCTCAGCAGAAGAAATTACAGTAAGACGAAAATACAGTTAACAAGAGAAGAATTTACGAGACATAAGTATTAGGTTGGAAAGAAAGTCCTGCAACACTTTTTCAAATTTTTGATTTTAATTTTATCTTTTTTGGTTACAACTTCTGACCGGTCTTATATCTACCATGAGTGTCCACCACTTGTCTCCATCGCTCAGAAAATTTCTTGATCCTCCTCCGCCAAAACCCAGCGGAGTGCGAGTCGAGAAAGGAGGCGACCTCACTTTCCGAAATTTTGGAGTTGACTCGTTCTGCTTTAGTTTGTGATTATCAAAACATGATTATGCTAAAGGTCCAGGATAGGTAGCACTTATTTACAGCTCGACCAGGGGATTACGCTAAGAGAGGAAAGAAATCTTGCCGCAACTCCAGAATTTCTTACCGGGCTCATTTCGGATCATGGTGATTCGCAATGTCATGAAAGAAATGAATATTGTCGCGGTACGAGGGCTCTTGACGAGCTACCTCGGCCAGCTTCTGGTACTCCACAACCTAGGCCACTGCCTACACAATGGTGCCCATAACGAAGGGTATGTAGTGGAGCTTCTGTAAGAGCCCTACCTGTAATGGAGTGTGAGGGATGCTGCTGGCTTCTTATAAAAATATCAAAAGATCGGAAGCGCTGGTAAAGGTGAAACACGCTGTATCGCTGAACGGCATGCCATTAGAAGCTATTGCAGATAGTGTCAGTCGTTGACACGAATCCATGGTTTTGTAGACATTTGTACTAGACAGTGACTCGGAGTACGGATTTGCTAGTGGTCGAGATTTTTTGAATTTTCTTGGATACCTACTCACTGCAGAACTTATATCCACCTCGTGGATTGAAGCCTTGAGAATGCTCTATCATTTGGTAGTCATAAATGTTACCTATGAATTTTTCAGAAAAAAAGAAAATTTTGGAAAGAGTGTTGCAGAACTTTCTTTCCAACCTAATAGAAAGAATTTCAGGAACCTCTGGTTCCGACGACCCACCTCCGCAACGCGTGACAATCCATCTGTAGCCCTATTGTAGGTTAAATGCACTACATGCGCGTTGCGTTTGTAATCCGCAAACATGCCGCCTCAATCTTTGATTCAAGCATGCTGGTCATGACACAAAAGCCTTCAACTATATCGATGGTTTCAGGATGAAATCTGCTGTTTTCCTGCTCCTAATTGTGCCACAGTGCTGGGCCATGCAAGACAGAATGATGAAGGCTGTCCTCGCGAAGAATGTCACAGAGCACAGCCCAGACCGAAATTTCTGCATCATGTCGGCATCAAAGCGCGCTTAGGGAGTATTTTCACAATAGTGCGAAGCGGGGAGACCATCGCGAAGCAAGATGAACAAATTCTTGACTGGGCGAAAAAGTATGGAGTTGAGGTAAGTGGAATTGTATGGCAATAAAGTGGCTGAAACTATAACACACTTGAAGATGCCGCTTCCCCGAAATTGAACAGAAATCAAGAGCAAAAGTAGATAAACAACAAAATTGCTCACGATGTTTTTGATGCGATTTTGGCGAGCTATCAGTAAATAACAATAACTGGAGAACTTGTTAAAAATGCTCTCTTCTTTCACCCGAGGCTCTAGTGAGGTGATCGTAAAGGTGCCAGCGTGCTTTAGATAGTTTTGTCTATATCACTCATGATCAAAAAAGGAGAAGTTCTCTTTCTTTATTTTTCCAATAAGCAGGTCCTAGCACGATATTCAGGGGTACGAAGGCTCTTCAAAGGGTATGATCCTTTGTGAATATCCAGGCAGACGGGTGTTGAGAGAGGCCAAGTCGGCAGGCGCCAAATCCTGCTAAACGATTATCATGGCGTGAGCATCCATATTTGGCGCATCTACTACAGAGTCCCTACTTATTTCAGCCACCCTCCACTAAGACTATGATTGAAAATGTTGTGTTTCAGGAAGAAGTCGAGGAATTCAACAACAAAACAGCTAGTTATGTTGAAGAATTGAAACAAAATGTTACCAATCTCATCGCTGAGCTTCCCACAGCACTTGAAGCGTTCCTCAATATAACCCAGAACAAAGATCAGACACGAATGGAAATGAAGAAAGCGCTCAGGGAAATGCGTACTGAGGAGTTTGAGGTTGGCGCTAGGTTGCCAACGACCAGCAAGATTACCTCAGAAGAATGCTTTCCAGGTGTTCGATGCGCTCAAGGCAGCTTTCAACCGTATTTCCAACCGAATCATTGCCTTCACCCATCGATTTCGCACCGATTCAAAAAGCTCGGGGAAAATTTTTTTTTTTTTTTTTTTTTTTTTTTTTTTTTTTTTTTTTTTTTTTTTTTTTTTTTTTTTTTTTTTTTTTTTTTTTTTTTTTTTTTATTATATATGTATTTAAAAAAAAAAAAATGACCAAATCTCGAAAATGCTTGATCCTCATGACGAATTCACAATGATGCAAAGATCGGGTGTTTGATGGATAGTGAGATGATGAATAAAGTTGTGTCATGCTGATCCCTGATTGCTATTCCTTTTTAAAAACCTTTACAAGAAGAGTCACTTTAGAACCTCGATGAAACCTGGATTGGCCATTCTCTGGTTAGGATAGAGCATACACCACGGTAGAATGTGTACTTTTATTGTAGCTCAAAAGTGCGCGAGAATGATACTAGAAGCTTATCCCTAGCCCCAATGACTGTATCCGATTGCCCGCGATACAACTGGAACGACGGTCTGACGGCGAGTAGTCTCGCCTCCTCTGTCCGCCCTGCCCTCTCCGTCTGACCAGCTCCAGCAATTGATGAGATTCGAGAAGGTCCAAGGCGTTGAGAAGTGCACCTACAGAGTGACAACGCTCTCCCACACTTCGCTCCGGGAACTCGTCAAACTACCAGAAACGCTCGGCTGGCTATAGCTGCCCAGCGAACCTTAAAATCCATACCGTGCACATTCTGACTACCGCTTTCCGGTGCTTACGCATGACCTGCGAGGAAGGCCTCAAAATTTACAATGGTCTGAAAATGGCGGAAAATGACGTCTTTCAGTCAAAGGTTCGTGAAGTTTGAATAAGAAGAATTCGTGATTCACCCAAAAGTTGAAAGAAGTGATGAGATTGATGCTTATGATTAACACATTGACGACGGCCAGTCGCTTAGCTCGGATAGTTTTGTTTATATCTTTGTTTGATCGTCATTACTCCATCAGTAAACCCGCTAATGGTACTTGATGCACTGTTTTCCGGTTTAGGTAATGTATACAAACATTTCCGAACATGAAAAATGTCAAAACGAGCCTAATCAGTGTGAAATCGTCATGCGCATCATGTTGCCGTCAATGCATCAATTCATAGTTGAAATCTAGTATAAAATAAAAAAGTATAGGGGATTCTTCGAAACAGTTTCTCTTGGTCAGGACAAGGGTTATCTGGCTTGCGACCTACTTCATTATATTCCCCATACTCCGAAACCATAGTCCCTTTATTTCAGAAGGAATATGAGCTAGACACATTTTTATAGGAAGATTTGGAAACGACCCCTGCCTCAAAAGTATACGGGCTTCCTGGGCAAGAGGATCTGAAAGTTAAATTTCTTTATCCTGTCAACTCATTCGTGATTCTGTGGGCATGGTTAGTGGAGGCCTCCTACTACCTCCACTATACGCCTGGACGTGTTGAGTCCTCTACAGAGAAGCGGCATCCAGATTGTACTACAGCGTCTCGATAGCGCACATGGGGACTTCCACAATCAGTATCAATGTTCGACTTTCAGTAAATCTTGGCATGGTTCGTAGTACTTTCGGTCAGGTTTGTTGAAATCGTAACTAAGACAGTGGTAACCTTTATTAAGTTTCGACCTTGTCGCCTTCGTCAGAGCCTGGAAAGCCAAAGATAAGTGCGACTCATCCTCAAACACCATTTCGTAACTTCAAGAACAGTCCCATAGACCCAATGCTACAGGAAGGCACCGTAAACACAGAACACTTAGACCCACCTTAACAGACGACCGAACTTGATGTCACCTCTAATCTGACTTG